TTATTTTACTGATATAGGGTATGACTGGATAACGGTTTTGAACTGAAAGGTGCCTTGTATAATAAAGTTTTTACTTCATGTTATCATCCCGAATTCCTCCAAAAAAATTAACAGCAACGTGCCTCGTATTCCTTTAATTTTTTTCTGAAGATTTAGCATGTAACGTATAAATTATTGAAAACTTACCTTTAGTTGTGTTAAACGTGTAAACACCCTTAAAGCTCCTAAGGCGTTCGTTCCACCAATAGGTTCCCAAACTAAGCTTCACCAACATAAAACTGCCACTTGAATGTATTATGAAAGGTCGCCTTGCTCCGGTAAAGGTACCTAACAAGGTGCTGCTTGAGTTACGTCCATCATAGATTTCGATCCAATCATGACCAAACTTTTGTGAATCAGAGAGTTGAAATGTCACAAATTTTAATCTGATGTGTTGGTTCGGTTGCGCCCTGATGACCCAGCTGTAGGCATAGCAGTTCGATCCTCTTGAATCAATATCAGAACTGCTGAATTCGCCAGAATCTTGAACGCCAAAGTTGCATCTTTGGGAAAACACCGCTATAAAGGTAGATGCTTCAATATTAGTTAAAAGCAGGACTATATGTTAAATGTTAAATTAAAAACTGAATACCATTTGAATAACTTTTTTGTAAATTTTGTTTTCTTTTCTTTTTTGCTGTCAGATTGGGAAATTGTGCAACGAGTCGAAAGCAATCCTTTCTTGATTTCTTGAGTGTGGTCATTTCAGGAAATTAAAGTGTGCGAAGAATTTACTTCGTAATATTATGAATAGATCGTTTTCACTGTCACGCAATAAAAAAAATAAATCGAAAACCATTCAGTGGATAAAGTCAAGAAATTGTGATTTTATAGGAAACAGATAGAGAAGACACTTCTCCAAGTTTTAGGTTTGTGCGTCTCCCAGACTGCAGATATTTGTCGAAATGTTACGCAGAAATTTACAGGGCCTAGTGTGGAGACGCCATGTTGATGCACCTCTGTGGTGCACCAACACGGCGGCCGGAAAATAGTTTAAACATCTGGAACTTACTTTGGCTATCTAGGCGACAGATTATCTGTACTGAACAAGCAAACATTCACATAAGCACTTCTCCTAATGATCTAACTTCTAAAAAGGCTAAAAATCGTGAGATAGGTATATATTTTTCGACAAATGCGACTGTAGCTTTGTGTCACGCACCGTCAT